GTTTATAAATGTTATTCCTCGATGTGCGCAAGTTCTGTTTCTATCCGGAGCTTGAAAAGTTAGCTGATGTGGCCCCAACTTGAGTCCCATTCATCTCAGTAAATAATGAATGCCAAAAAAATAACTCCCACTATATACTGTCAGCATTGCTTGTTAGCTCTCTGCCCCTTGGCCCAGCAGAAGTATTCAGTGGCTGCTCTTGCATAGTGGGGCTTTATTTTGTGCTACAACATGAATGAGATTTACTAGGAGGTGTATTATCAGTGGTCCTCAAGCTGCCCATTGTCAGGCTCCACAGGATCTTTGGAGGAGCGGCACACCTGTGAGAGAAAAAGGCAGTGGAAAGTAAGAAGGAGGGGCTGCACTTTCTGCCACACTAGCTGAAGATACGCAGAAGCTCGAGCATCTGCTGCCAAGGGAAACTTTTGGAAGGCCCAGCTGACAACTTGGTTCACTGCTGCCTACAGGACTTCAATCTTTGTAAGTCTGAAGCTGCTTTTTGATGTACAGGAGCAGGGATTTTTATTTCTAGCAGAAGAGCAAGGACATCTTTCCAAACTGTTTCCATGTTCCAGGGAAGCTTTGGCCTTTGCTTGCACTTGCACAGGGACCTTTGCCTGCCAAAAATGGTTCCTGCTATAGACCAGCGGTCCCCAATCTGGTTCGCGTATCACCAGTGGTACGCAAACAACCTGTCAGTGGTACACATTAACAGGTTTATTATAATGACTTTATATGGCCAAAATTTGCTGGTGGTACTTAAGGTTGTATCCTTTTAACTTGGTGGCGTACCATCTGTCAGAGTTTGGGAACCGCTGATGTAGACAATGGAGAATCAGCCCAATGTAACAGATCCTCTCTTCTGACTCATGGTTGCCTGTTGTATCCAGGACTTCCTGCTGGGACATATTAAAATGACAACAGATAGATCCACACATAAAATAAGGGCCAGTTGCGGTGGTAATGCTGTTTGTCACATCTTTTAGGAACCGGTCCGACACTTCCAACTCATTTGCCATAGAGCACAGCAAAGCCTTTCAGATGCTAATGAATTTCAATATACCCTGTAAATGAAAGTGTTATCACTTTCTAATTATCATCTGCTAATACCGATCCTCTTCTACAAGCGATCTAAGCAAAAATTAAAACTCCAGCTTGTCAGAGCATTTTGTTTTCATCTAAGCACTCGCCAGTGGTTCTCATCAGGAAAATGTTGTGGCAGTCGAAATTGCCAAGAAGCCTGCAATTAACAGAGATCCTTGTGACAAGACTGACACAATATGAAGACAGTTTCAGAAGGGGGAAATGAAAAGAGTCCATCCATTTAGCACCACAAAAGAGATGCAAAATGAAGTAATTAATTTGGGGACAGATCATTTCTATCAGCATGTAGTACTGCATGCGTAAACAAAGCCTCAGTTGTGCACTAAGTACTCATCAATTCTACCAGAAATTAAAAAACAAAACCAAGAACAAAAACAAAACCAAAAAAACCCAGGCAAGTCAAGCGGTTGGTCAAGCAAGCAGGAAAGCTTCAGTTAATAGGGTGAAGTTATATATTACACTTAGACAATGGTACCCTTAAAGCATGAGCATCCACATGTTAAAGCTCATTAACTCGTGCTAAGCACCCTCAGGGTTACACCACTTCAGGGGAGCGTTAACTCTGGGCCACGATCCCTAGTTTGTGTTAGGGTAACATCAGTCTGCTCCATGGAGATAAAATGAGCGATTTTGCAGTCCTCCGGCATCCCAGGATGCACTGCTCCCAGCCCTCTCCCAACCCAGGATAGGGAGAGAGCCCAGGTGTCCTGGCTCTTCACCCCGCCCCTGCTCACCAGCCCCGCTAGTGGCACGTGAGAGCAGTGCAGGCAAGAAGTAGCATTAACCCTTTACATGCTACTGCTCGCAGCACTTTCTAACTTAAACGCTGCTTATCTTTCCCCAGACTGAGTGTGGTCTAGGTGTAATTTGTAACTTCACCCTATAGATTCCTTCACCATCTCTTATTTTATCCGGGTATTTTGCAGAAGACTTCTGCCAGGTATTTGGCCTTCAGAACAAACATCCAACCCTCAGGTATCAATTTGCATTCCAGCATTGCTCTGCTATGTCCTCGTGCTGTGTGGTCCTGGCGTGACAAACAAATACCGTTGTGTCAAAGCAGTCCACCAGCACAACTCATCATCGTGACACTTCAGCGACACTGCAAGCCCTGCTTGCTACATGGGAGGTCAGACTACCTCCCAGCATGACTATCTCCCAGCATGATTTCACAACTGCAGTGTCCTCTCAGACCATAATGTTCGGTGGTCCTTTCTCAGGTAACATCAATGGAGGCCTCATCCGAGTAAGGTAACCACCAAGCTCTAACAGTGCATGGCATAACCCAGCACCGAGGATGCTCAACTCAGGGATCAGACCAGCACACAGTACAAAGGGGGATCGACTGGAGCATAAGACAATATCGCACATAGAAACCCCAGTTGTTCTTTTCTGGCAGAACATGGTCGTGGGTGCTGGGTTCAGTTTTCTCTCTGAAGGCCCTTGCCTGTGGGGCCCTGCTCATATCTAGACTGTGCTCCCTTCTCAATATCTATGAGTCCGCTGTGAGAGACAGCGAGATGCCTGCGGCTTAGCCCAGCAGCACACCAATGACACTCCATTATATATTTCATTCTCAACTGATGCAATCACTGCCACTACTAACACATCAGACTGTCAACAAGAAATCACTGTGAGCAATGAGAGCCTGGCTCAGGTTGAATCCAGGCATGGGAAAGTTGAAATGGAAGCAGACTCCTGAGTCACTGGTTACAGCCCCCTGCTATTGCAGGCATCACATCCTATAACTCCCTTCGTAAACCTCCTCAGAGTAATCAGGTGCTTTGCTCTCAGCAGTCTTATGGGGATGTTCTTCTAGGCTCTTCTAGTGGATTGGAAGCAGGAAATCCTTTGAAGAGCGAGCCAAGATGCTGTCTCCATCAAAGGCACAGAGCCATGCAGCCCTCGTTCTTCAAGCCTTGATGCTCTGTTGCACTCCCTGGTACCTAAAACTGACTTCTTCACTTCCAGCTCACTGGGAAAAATTGTCCTTTCCTCCCAGATCAAGACCTGGCAATGACATTCTGTGCTTTTGCTACTTCTGAGCAGCCTTCCCTTCAGTGACTCTGACCCTTAACGTTAGGAAGATGCCCGGGCCTCACCTGTTCAGGATCAGGCTGTCTGCCTTCTCCTTGTTCCAGGGCATCACAGACATCAGGCCTATGTATTGATTCCCCAGAAGTTTCTGGCGCCAGGCTATGGATTTGGTTTTAATCTTTGGAACAGTTACCTGTAAAGCACAGTGATGGCTGTAACCGCCCAGAGCCCAGGATGAAGCAGGTGAGAACAGGGAACAAAACGTTCTGGCTGCGCAACAAACTTCCAGGTGAGATTAGGTGAACACAGAGCTTAACCAACGGCAAAACCTTCTTGGAAAAGGCTTTTCTACCATCCAAAAGGTACTCAGACTACTGACGCCCTCTAACTAAAAAGCCCTCTATAAACCCAGCCAAACAAAAAAGGAAATGAATAAAAGCTAAGAAATCAAAATCTACCTTCAGAGGAAATAGGGGTAGAGAAAGGACACAGTGCCAGGGATTCATGAAATGCACAAAGATCTTTCACTTTTATTACTGAATACACTTGTATGATGCGCGGCCTGCGATAGGTTAGGTAGAGAGCTCTGTTAACTCCAGTGAAGTTACTCTTGATTTACCTTGGTATGAGAGAGAGGTGCATGAAGCCCTCAGTTTCTCCTTTCTGGCTTGGCCTGTAGCTCAGCCGATGACCAGGCAAGTTGCTTTGTCTTTCATCCTCCTGATTTGTAAAATGAAGACGATCATGCCTACTTCATAAGGTGCTGCAAGGCCTAATTAGAGAGTGTAAAGCCCCATGAAATTGTCTGATGAAAGATGCTTTAGAAGTGCCAGATACAGATAGCTTGGGAAAAAGGTGACTTAAGGGAGGTTATGCAAACATGACAGATACTCGGAAAGTGAAGGGGGAAGATAAGGGGAAGGGAAGTGGCCCAGCTTTTTCAGTGAAAGCAGTGAAGCAAGGAGCAGTGGTCTGATGCAAAAGGTGGGAACGTTTCAATCAGAACTTTTGTTGTATGACAGAAGGGAATTAGGCAATAAAATAAATCACTTAGATCAGGGATGTCAAAGTCACCCCTCCTTGCAGCCTAGATCCAGACGTGGCAACAGCAGGGCAAGCAAACGCAGGGTGCGTGGTGCTGATGCAGGGCTGAACTCGGCCACTGCTTGCCCCCCACTGCTGACGGGCCTCTCAACAGCACTCTGTAGCCCGGGCTTTGGCAGCAGGCCCCACCCCACTCACTGGTCCCTGTATTGCCCCCACAGGTAAGACAGCATGGCACCATGGGGCAGATTTGGCCTGTGGACGATATGTATGATACCCGTGACTTAGGTGAATTCAGAAACCACACAGTTAAAATCCTATTGAGATTAAATCTAGGAAAGGCCCTCCCCCATCCAGGAAGTGGAAATTGATCAACCTATCGGGTCTTTCTCATCAGCGATTCTCCGATAAGCACCCTGCAACCATCTCTTCATTAAAACCATTGGACATCAATACCACAAACCTGTATTTCAACGCCTGTGTGTAATGACGCTGAATTACTTAGAAAATGGTTCCTTTCAACAGTTCACTGAAAATCACATGCTGTTTCCAAAGAATGAGCAGCGATCCCTGGATAAAGTTGTAGGACCTCGTTCTCTGCTGGTGATGAGTAGAAATGACCTCAGTGGAGTAGGGCCAATTTACCCCAGTGGCGAATTGGCCCATTATGTAGCCAACTGCAGTAAAATTAATTCTCAATCCATGAAGTGACTCGCATCCAACCCCCTCCCACCCATTTGACTGAGCCGGCTGAATGTGCTGTTACCGTCAGGTGACCTTTCATTTCTAATTGTTCTGTTCTCTTCTTCCTCTAGGCATCACCGTGGACAAGTTTGGGCTGATTTATTTTGTGGATGGCACCATGATCAGACGCATTGACCAGAATGGCATCATCTCGACCGTGCTAGGTTCCAACGACCTGACATCTGCCAGGCCCCTTAGCTGCGACTCTGTCATGGACATTTCTCAGGTACCACAAATGTTATTAAATCTGTTTTACTCCACAATATTTAATACTCACCGTCCTCTGACAGCCAGACAAACACTTGCTTTTTTTGTCACTATATAATTCAACACTGCATAGTTTTAGGACTGGCTCAAATTAACATCTAGGAAATAGTGACTGGGTGTTGTGGTTGGTGCCAAAATTAGCAACAGCAGGAAAACAAGAATTTTGAATTGCATCAGATTGCAAATCAGTGGCAGCTACCATCACGCTGGGCATTTAAGTCCTGCTGCTTACAGGGGGGAGGAGGGGAAATCTCCATTTGATGATTGCTTTATTTCTGGATGATGAAGTATGCAAACCTTTTACAGCCCAGGACTCAGCCCTTCCCAGAGTGCCAGTTTGGAGGTTCAGTCGTTTAAAACCTTTTGTGCCACTTATTATGGCATGGCTAGAAGAATGTTGCCCTGTTCTGCAAAAATACAGATCATAGCTGGAGGGCTAAGTACTGTTATTCAGCCACAATGGATGTCAATGGGGTTTCCCTTTTGTAACTGCCTACATAATTTTCATGCTCCCTTATGGAATCTGTTCTTCGTGTTTTTTCCCCCCCAGTTTGAAAAAATTACCCTCACTTCTTTGTAACAGGTTCCCACTGTCTGCAATTTATGAACAAGCTAAAATTACAAGTTTAAAAGCTCTCATGCCTCGTAGAGAGAAGTAAATTTTGGTGGTTAAAGGCCATCTTGTATTATAATGGCTCCCATCTCGCAACCATATTCTTTTCTGTTAGTGCCAGCTACAGCAAGGTTATTGTGGTCCAGGCTTTAAAAAAAAACATTTTCAGCCAGGCTCTGGCTTTTATGTAATAATGTCCCCTTTAAACGGTCCTGTGGTAGATTCAGAAATGTATCGTCTGCAGTGCCTTTCTTCTTCTGCTTTCAAATGAAAAGAGCTGTTCTCCAGTACCACAGTCTCCGATGGAAAGCTACATGACAGACAAGGGTTTAAAAAAAATCAACTTGGGAGCTATCTTTTCATCATTTACAGTGGCTAGAAAGGTCTCTGCAGTCAGGCCCCCGAGGCTCTCTGGGACAAGAGGGCATGAAATATTTAGCTGCCGACGCTGACAAGAAATGGGTTTTAAGAAATTGAAAATTCCCTTGTCAGCTCCGAGTAAACCCTGCTCTTGATGCTAACTCAAGGCTGCAGTGGAGCAGTGCTTTCAAGACAATTGGAAAGTATGGAGGCATGCATTATTGAAGAGAAAACCACAGACTATAGTGTTTTACCACAGGAAGGGTTAAAGCAGGCCAGGGGCCAAGAAAAGAAAGGGATTGTGAGAACAGAGCTTAGTGTCTAGACAGGACTCAACTTGCCACATGCAGCGCTGAGATTCACGCCTCTGAAACCGGGCTGTCCGAAGTCAAAGTAGACCAACATCTCTGGCAGCTGAGAAATAAATAAGCCTAGAAAGGCTACGAACATGAGAGATCACAAATAAACCCAGTCTATAGCAGCAACATTGGACAAGTGGATCAAAAGCATGTGAGGCTCCTGTGGCTCTGCTCAGCCTCTTAGAGGGCATTGATACACGTTCCTTTTCATCCCGTGACGTGCCAAAGATCCAGTGGGTTGGAGCAGACTCGATTAATTGAGTCCGCTCCAGATGCAAGCTAATGCGCGCTACGCTGCGGCGCATGCAGTTGTAGAAGCAGCCAAATGTGCATCAGCAGCGGTGCGCTGTGATGATTAGAAATTGAAGGTGTTCTAGAAATTTAGGTTTAAATTAGAAATGAAGGTGTTTTCGTTCAAAAGCACGCCGCCGCCATTTTCCACGTGCTGACGCACATTTTGCCATTTCTGCAACTGCACTCGCTGCAGCGCCAGGCGTTTTTAAAAACCCCCGGCACTGCAGTGCAAGCATGTGTACAAATGCACACAGAGCCCCAGCAAAAGTGAATGTATTGGGCCTGAGGTTGCCGGGGTCCCTTTCACTTCCCTCTGAGCAGGCAGATGACCTGGGAAGATGGGAAAGAGGAGGTTTATTACAGAGGCAGGGTGACACCCTGAAACTGCATTGCACTGTCTGTGCCATGGTGTGTCTCATTCAACAATGCCTGAAGCAATGCAGGGTGGTATCGTTCCACTCCCAGCATACAGGCATGGTGGGGAGGGGAGGATGGGACAAAATACAACTCTACTCTGTACCTTCTGATAAGGTAACATATGATCCCTTAGGGACCATAGCAAGCCTTTCTAAATAAGTCATTCTGTGCAACCAAATGGGACTGTATAGCTATGAGACAGCTTTTAATAATGGTCATTCAACAGGCTATTTAAAAGCCTTATAAACATTCATAGACGACCAAGTACATTGTCCAGAGCTGCTCTCTGAACACAGCACTGCAGATCTCTTTCAATGCACACATGCTGTGCAAGGATTTTGGATCGTTAGCTGGCTCCTTTCAGCTCACCATTGAATCATTCCTGCATTGATGAAACATGAAATAAAACAAAATCATCACCAAATGTATTTCTATACCGTTTGGTAATGATCTGTGGTCTGGGAATGGAAAAAGGACTCCAAATCACGTTGACATTTCTGCGCTAGTCCAACTTGCTCTCAGTGCTGAGGTAAAGTCCCCTTATGTATGGCATTATTCTTGGCAAATTAAACAGTATCCTCAGTTGAAAGATGGTGCATGGTTAAAGAACAATATTGGGATCTTTGACTCTCATTTCTATTGCTGGTTCAGTTTATGCATCTCTATAATGGGTCAATACAATATCAATACCTATCTTTTATATTGAACTCAGTCTTTAATGAAGCATAATGAAAAAACCCACCTGGAAGAAGCAGGCATTTTATTTCAAACTGTGAAATTGAATTTCTTGAGAATTGCTGTTTATGTATGTTCACAGGAATAAGACCCTGAACTAAGTTTTCAAAAAAATGTTCCTAGTTCGTGTACACAGAATTTGTCATTGCAAGGCAGTAATATAGTTAATGGCACAAGCAGTTGTACACAAGCCATGCAGTATGCGCATACAATTTAATCACTTCTTCTGGAACATCTATCCTGTGCTCTCTAGAACACGAGCTATCTTTTTATTATTTGATATTATGGCTCCTAATACAGTGTAAATTAATAAGAAGTTAGTCCTTTATCCCTTTTTCAGAATTTCACCATTCACTTCTCTGTTACCCCATGCCAAACATACCCCATACCTAGATAGCACAATGATTTGGGGAGGGAGGGAGAAAGGAGTGGGTGGATGGATGGATGGATGGATGGTTGGATGGATGGGGGCTTTTAGAAGTTGGATTATTAAGGGTGACTGTAGGAATCAAATAGGAAGAACAATGTTTTTAACCATTTCTTTTTCACTGTCATGTTGTTAGGTTCGTCTAGAGTGGCCCACAGACCTGGCAGTCAACCCGATGGATAATTCCCTGTATGTCCTCGACAATAATGTTGTGTTGCAGATCTCTGAGAATCACCAAGTGCGCATTGTGGCAGGAAGGCCTATGCACTGTCAGGTCCCAGGCATTGACCACTTCCTCCTCAGCAAAGTGGCGATCCATGCCACCTTGGAATCTGCTACAGCTTTGGCTGTTTCTCATAACGGGGTCCTGTACATCGCTGAGACGGATGAGAAGAAGATCAACCGCATCCGGCAGGTCACCACCAACGGAGAAATCTCTCTTGTTGCTGGTGCGCCAAGCAGCTGCGACTGCAAGAATGACGCCAATTGTGACTGCTTCTCTGGGGATGATGGGTATGCAAAAGATGCCAAACTCAATGCCCCTTCCTCCCTGGCAGTGTGCGCAGATGGGGAGTTGTATGTTGCCGATCTTGGAAATATCCGAATCCGCTTCATTCGGAAGAACAAGCCATTCCTCAACACACAGAACCTATATGAGCTGTCCTCCCCTATAGACCAGGAGCTCTACTTGTTTGACACCAATGGTAAACACCTTTATACCCAGAGCCTGACCACAGGAGATTACCTCTACAATTTCACCTACTCGGGAGATGGAGACATAACCCTGATCACTGATAACAATGGTAACTTAGTCAATATTCGGAGGGATTCCACTGGAATGCCACTCTGGCTAGTGGTGCCAGATGGCCAGGTCTACTGGGTGACAATTGGCACCAACAGCGCACTCAAGAGTGTGACAATGCAAGGGCATGAAGTGGCCATGATGACGTACCATGGCAACTCTGGTCTTCTTGCCACCAAGAGCAATGAAAATGGATGGACAACATTTTATGAGTAAGTACCATTAGAATGATATGCCATGGGCCTCATGTTGTATTCACTGGTCTGTTTGATCCTTAAGGAATAAAATTCATTGGACGAAAGGTACTTGTTGTAGAATGGCTAGAGTAAGAAGAGAATTTTGCACCATATTAGGTCTGATAGAGAACTTGACAACAGAAGTAACAGTGGAAAATGAAACACGCTAAGCACTTAACAATCACATTTATCTCCAAAATTAGCTCTTGCACTTAATCTATGAATAAAAATATAGAGGTAAACCAAGAGGAAGAGGAAAAATACAAGTTATTTTGCGGGTATACTTACGACAGTAGTTAGTTATTTCTTGCCACCCAGTAAGATGGAAAATTTGTGAAACTTGTCTGCTCTGTGCCTCCATTCATTTCAGTGGAGCCGTATGATAGCTATAAACCCTCCATAGTTCTACATAAGGAAGTATTGTGTAGTGTCTGGAAAAGAGAAATGGGAATCTTGATTTAGGTAGGTCAGAGCAATTAGTTAGCAAGCAGATGTTAAAGGGATTAAGAACTTGCTAACTGACAGATCTCCGGCAGTATTCATTCATTTGAAATCCCCATCATAGAGGAGTGTTTCTATTGTGATTCTACCAGGATTGGATCTTAGCCTGATTCTGTTCAAAACTCACATCAGTGATCGAGATGTTAATATAAAACCATGGCTGAGAAAATTCACAGGCGGCAATTAAGATGGGTAGAGTGGTAAATAATGGGAAGTCATCTGGCAAGATCTGGATTGCCTGGTTAGCTAGACCCATTCCAACAAAACGGCAGAAAATTGTATGTGTGGGAGCAAGGAATGCAGACCACTGCCACAGGATGGAGCACCGTATCCTGCTAACACTGTGAGGCTGAAAAAGGTCTAGGGACAGTAAGAGACAATCAACTCAACCTGAGCTCCCAGCATACTGCCGTATCCAAAAGGGCTAATTTGGTTATACGGAAAAGGCAGCAATGAGTGGGATAAGGGGTGATTTTGCTAGCTTATATGGCAGCAGTGAGATGGACACTACAATGCTGCCAGTTTTCTTGTTTAAATTTTGCAAAGAAATTTGAAAAATTCGAGAGGATAAAGAAAAGAGCCACAACCATGATTCAAGGGCTGGAGAAAAAGCTTTACAGTGAGAGACTTAAAGAGCTCGGTTTCGTTTATCAAAGGGAAAGCTGAGAAGCGCCTTGATTACAGCATGCAGGTGTTTTCGTGGGCCAAAAATACCTGGTACTGAAAGGTTTTTTAATCTAATGTACAAAGACATAAAAAGGACCAAGCCAAACCTAGAAGCTAAAACCAGATAAATTCAAACCACAATATAACATGATTTTTTTAACAGTGAGGGCACTTACCCAGTTAAATAAACTAATAAAGGAAATGGTGGATTCTTTATTTATTTCTTGATATCTTTTGATTGCCAAATATAAGCTATTCATTCATCAAACGCAGAGTATTGGGCTCAGTACAGGGATAACAACTAAGTGAAATGAGAGGTGTTTATTAGTGCCTCAAGAGTACTTCTCTCAGGGCACGTTTAAATCGAGTCACAGAATCACGGAGTGGAAGGAACTTCAAGGGTTGTCTAGTGCAACACTTCACACAGACGCAGGATTCGGCATTTCTGTACAACCCCAGGCAGATCCAACCCAGCCTCCTTTTGCAGACCTCCAGAGAAGGAGATTCTGCACTTCGCCTGGGCAGCTTCTTAATATTGTCCTGCTGTTCTGGCAGCTAAGAAGTTTTACTTGCTCTAAATAAGGTTTGCTGCTGTTTAACCCCATTGCTATCCTGCTCTCTCTGGCTGGGGAGAACAGCATTTCTTCATCTTTAAGACATCTTCTTTTCAAACATTTGAAAACTGCTATATCATATCCTTTCTTCCAAACTACCCACACCTAGTTCCATCAGCTTTTCCTCACACCTGCTTTCTTCCAACCTTTTATCGTCTTTATCATTCACCTTTGGACCTTCTCCTACTTCTTTACATGCATTTCATATTGCATACAAATCCTGATACAATACTCTAGCTGAGGCTTAACCAGCACTCAGTAGAGCATTAAAGTCACCTCCTGTATCCTGCATATAATGCTGTGTTGTTCTGTTTAGCTTTCACTTAGTCCAGGGTAATTTCAGGCACAAGAGCAATTACCATGCATCAGCTTTTCCTCAGTGAGTCTCTACCCCCATTAATTCAGTTTAATTTGATTATTTGTCCATACCCTGAATGTATCATAATCCAGTTAAAGCCACTAGGAGTCTATATCTTGCCCGTGTTTTCCAACGATAAATAGATGGCAGGAAACAGCATAGCTCAGTAGGACCATGGCAATCTTCAGCCACTCACAACTGCTTCCTTTTTTTTCTTTTTGCAAGTCATTTTCTGGTATCTCTTCTTCTCCCTAAATGTTGTAAATCTGGGTTGTTAGGTCACAGTTTCCACAGGCCTGAATCAACTGAGCTGATGTGACCCTGGGATGAAGAATAGGAAACAGGATTTCTTACACCCTAGGAATAGCCCTCTCTGAGGCCTCCCAGTATGTTCCTACTGACACAGGGGAGGTGGAAGAGGGCCAAGCCATGTGATCTATTGGCCATGTCTCCCCAGAGAGCAAGGGGATAGGAGCCCTCTCCAAAGGAGAGCACATCTGCTCCAAAGCCCTTGTAGAAAGGGAGCCCTTTCTCCTAGACCAGGCTTATCCAATTTCAAAGTGGCTGGGAGCCACAGGCCCCATGACTATACACCACAGTGGCTGCATTAGTAGGGACCATGGGCCACCCAGGCTGCACACCCCACGTGCACACGGGGGGAGCCCAAGGGTTGTATGCTAAGCCCTCAAGACCTGTGGGTAGCTTGCTGGCCACCCATTAGACAGCATTGCCATAGACTGTGAGAAACCCACCTGCAGCCATCCAGCTCACTGATTGCAGTGTTGGGAGGGGAAGAATTCAACAGTTGCTGCAGAAAATGGCATCCTACGTCCCAATGAACTTCTGTGCAGGTCCAGGGCTGGATCCAGAGGGGTTGCAGGAGTGCGACCTCGCCCTCCTTTCTGGCCACATCACAGGAACAGCAGTCAGGGTCAATTTTAAGTCCCCCAAGCAGGTAATAATTCCTCCCTTCCTTTCCATGCTCTGAGGCATGTCCCCTCTGCCTGCCACTACCACTCCCGCTGTCTTGCTCAGGCTAGGACAGCAATGGGTGGGTTCTCCCTCCCTGCCTGGTCCCCCCCGGCTGTTCTCCGCCAGCCAGAGAGCAGGTGCAAAGATGGGGAACTGCCAGCACTCCCCTGGGCTGAGCCCAGTCCCTGAGCAGCCTGGCTGCAGCTGGGTAGAAATAGTTTTGGAGCTCTCCTAACTCTTGGGACAGTGGCAGGCAGGGAAGGGAAGGGGAGGGGACATGCCTCTGAGCAGGAAGTTTTCCCTGCTTTGGGGACTTGAAAAAGTCCCTGACTGCTGCTCCTGTGGCATGGTCTGCCCACCCTGGTGCGGGGGGCAGGGAGGAAGGCTGGGTGCAGGGAATGCAGCCACCCCAGTCACTGCTTCCACACCCCACTTTGCAAAATCCTTCTGTGCAAGTCTCATTTCAGAGGGCTAAATGATGTCTATATATTACTGTACCTCTGCACAGCGGTGAAGTTTGACCTCGCTACACAGGGTGTGACATTCACACAGTACAGGTCTGCTTGACCAGCAGCTGAATGAAAAATCCACCTTCATGTTGGGTTTTTGGCAGAGATAATTAATCAGAAAAGTAGTAGGCCTGGAAGCTCTTGCAAGCTAAAACTCTGGTGCCATCCATCTCCTTGATCCAAAGCAAAAGGATACGATTTATTGGGTTTTGTTTTCTTAACTTGACCTGAAAGAATGGCAACACATCTGTTTTAATAGCTTAGGAACTGTTTTTGGCTTTTTTTAAAAGAGAAACAAGAACCTTGTTAATTTTTTTTAAGAAATCAGGATTATAGTAATTATCTTGATTACCATAGCTCATTGAGATGGTATCATTGTATGTTAAATAATTTAGCTTCCCTCTAAGCCAAAGTCACAACTTTTATGCATTTAATCAATGCAAGGCTTTTTTGTTTTAGGTCTTTTGTGTGCTCAGTTAGTCTTCAAGGTAATTTTTTCAGATGCAAACCTAGTAGGTATTTGCACATCACTGAAGCCAAACCTTACAGTCAGGCTGCCCAGAAACCATGTTCACCAACAAGAGGTGATGCAGACTGGGGGTGGGAGGATAGGGTTATTGAACCAGATCTTTAGATTTCAAAAAGTGGAATGATCCCAATTTACACTATAGTGAATGGAGGCAGGGTCTTTGCAAAGGTTTCTGCTTCTGCTTTGGAAAGTGGGAAATGCTTTCTCCAAATTCACATTCACAGACAAATGTTGGTCTCAGAATTGCTTTTGTTAACCCAGCTCTTGGGTTTTTCTTTCTTGTGATCTGCGTACCGTGGTCTGATTTAATGACACAAATGATTAACTTAATGGAAGAATTTTCTGAGGGATCTCTGAACCTTTTGTCAGGAGTCCCCTGTGAAGTTTGAACAGGGGAATTCTGCTCCAACTTTGAATACTAGTCCCCAGGTAGCTGGATGCTTCTCTCAAACTACACAGTAGCAAATATAGTGGGCAAAAATAGCAGCAAAATAGCATAATTGTTGTCACTGTGCTTCTGAGTTACCTCTACTGTGCTGTGTCAAGCAGGCTGCACCTTTTGGAGTACCTATACCAAATTCAAGGAGCTGAGGCAGTGTAGCCCCAAGTGTATGCTAAAAAGCATTCCCTGAATGTGGAGCTGGGCTGGTAGGCAGCTACATCAGCTCATTCTCAGGTGGTGCATGCATAGCTCGGGTCAGCGGCTGCCTTGTAGTTCATGGCCGCACTTCCAGGCGTGGCATTGATGTAAGGTAGGCATGTTCTCCATCACAGAGTGCTGCTTGGGATCTTCTGAGCACGGTTATCTGCCCGGCAACAAAAGGCTA